GGGGGGGGGAAGAGGAGGGGGAGGGGGGAGGGGGAAGGGGAGGAGGGGAGGAGGGGGAGAAGAGGGGGGAGTAGAGGGGGAGGAGAGGGAAGAACAAGAAGAGAAGGAGGGGGAGGGAGGGAAGAGGAGGAGGAGGGGGAGGAGAGGGAGGAGGGGGAGGAGTAGAGGGGGAAGAGGGAAGAACAAGAAGAGAAGGAGGGAGGGGAGAGGAGGAGGAGTAGAGGGGGAGGGAGGGGAGAGGAGGAGAGGGAGGAGGGAGAGGAGGAGGAGAGAGAGGGAAGGAAACAAACAGGACCTAGCCAGTGGTGTCTCGGCACTGTGCCTACATGTCTCGTATAATTGATCCTCCCACATCCTTGGACGAGGGGCACGTGCTGTCATCACCGATTAACACACGAGAAAAGTAAGGATGAGGGAGGCTCAGTGATTGACCAAGGTTCCCCAGCCGGGAGCAGGAAAGCCAGCTCTGGAGTCCCAGGTTACACCTAACTGGACTGCGGTTAATCCTGGCTCTCTCGGGCCAGGCAGGGGACCCCTAAAGGGCAGAAATGGTGTTTTTAGGTCCCCAGTGCTTAGCACAGCGTCAGCTCGAGCGGGTCCTCAAAACGTGACTAGTTCAATGCCAGGTGATGTTACAGGAGGACCAGGGCACACATGTAGACAGAGGGTGGAGGGGACCCAAGGCAGACCCTATCACCCTAAGATCATCTCTGACTGCTGCGTGCCCTTGAGAAGCAGACAAGCGGTGAGGCTACAGTCCCAAAGAAAAGAAAAAATGTCTATATAAGTAGGTGTAACATAATGGGAAATCAGGTTTATAACAAGACAAGTACAGATGAAATGTTATGGTTGGAGGTGATGATTATCTATCTGTGCAGATCAGGGTGGGCTTCCTGGCTGAGGTGGCATCTGAATTCCACACTGCCCTTCAAGAGTAAGCACCTCAGTCATTTCTTTTATCCCTGAAGGCTACTTTTGAAAAGTCATTTGAAAATGATGGGCCACTGGAGGTGGGCAAAGAGGTTAGAGGGAAGAGGCACTCAGAGCCGGATCCAAACCCCTGTTGGGTTAATCCTGCTTCCCTTTCCAGAGCAACCAGGGAGGATGCAGGGAGGATCTGTTCCGGAGATGACCATTCCTTTCAGGGCTGCAAGTTCACAGGAAGATTAATAAGGTAACGTGAATAACAGTAACAACTGGCCTTTTTAATCACCGCTAAGCACTTTACCTGCTTTATCACATCTAATACACAAAAGCCCGGAGGGTAGATAGTATCTCTGTCTCCACTTAAGGAGGAGGAAACAGAGCCTCACACAGGAAATCACCTGCCCAGGGTCACCAGGCCATAGCCACTTGGCCCCTCTATGCTGTAGAAAGTGCCAGCATGCTGTGCCATTGAGGCAGTTAGGAAGATGGCAGCATTATTCTCCCCACTCTAGGTGCCTGACCTTGCACACACCCCAGGGCATCTGCTGAAACAGTCAGGGCTGCTCAATCCAGCGGATTTTGAGACCAGTGAGCCAGAGCCTGGACCTGAGGCTCTCGGGCTGGGCTAAGCAGGTGGCTGAGGCGGTGGCCGGTGAGTGCCACTTTAGGCCTTGTGGGTGACAGCGCCTCCCACCTCTCTTATAACAGATTCCTACTTTTAAACGAAATCAGACGGAAAGGAAAAAGACTGATGGGGAAAACACTAGTGCCAGTTAATCTACTTCTCCTGACTCAGAGAGTTTTTAAGGTCTCTATTTTCCAGTAGGTTCAGTTGTTTTAAAAAGCCCACTGAAAAAGCCATTCGACAGGGTCAAATCTGCAGAAGACTCACCTACACAATTAGCTTTTAGAATTTAATGATAAATTTGGTAGGAAAGAAAATGACATATATTAAAAATTCTGAGAGTGGGGGCGCCTGGGTGGCTCAGTCAGTTGAGCGTCCGACTTCGGCTCAGGTCATGATCTCACAGCTCGTGAGTTCCAGCCCCGCGTCACAGCTCTGTGCTGACAGCTCGTAGCCTGGAGCTTGCTTTGGATTGTGTCTCTGTCTCTCTCTGCTCCTCACTCGCTTGTGCTCTCTCTCTCAAAAACAAACATAAAAAAAAAAATAATTCTGAGAGTAGAGTGCATGCAAACTTCCTCAGTGACAGCACCCTAGCCTAGGGGCTAAGAGGCTCCAAATCTTCCCCTCCTGCAGCCACCAGCTTCCTCCCCTCTTGGCCTCCCTTCTAGAAGTTCCCAACCCAGGCTACACATCTCCAGACGTCCTGATTCACTTGCTCTGCGGTGGGTGACCGTACTGTTAGGTTTTAAAGCTTCTCTGGCCAAGTCTGTTCCCCAGTGCTGCCAGTGATATGCTCACACTAAGAAACTGTTCACGGTTTATCTGAAATTCATACCTAACTGACAAACTTCTATCTCAGCTGGCAGTTTACTTCGTATCCCCCACTCCCTTCTAAACCGTGGGCAAATCTTGTCAGTGTCACTTCAAAAAAAAAAAAAAAAAAAAATCAGATCAGCCCAAAACATGGAGAGGCTGGAAGTGAAATCGGTGCTCAAAACAATCGGGCTAAGTTTCTCTCTTTCACACACGCACCCGCAGCACGGTATGGCCTTTCTGTTCACTCTAGGGCTACATCAGATGTTGGGGTGCTCTCCCTCTCCCCACCCCACCACCTCGCGTGGGGTCTGTGGTGGAGGATTTAGGCACTCTGCCACCAGCTCCACAGTATCATTTCCACTGGCAAACACCAGCTTTATCGTTAAAACCACTAGCAGCTGCCCCTCCTTCCAGATTCCAAGACACTGCTGCCAGTGGGTTTTTCCAGAAGTGGTGATCAAGGGCACCAAACCATTCCCTCCCTTCCTCCCTCGCTCTCTGCACCCTCCCATTATCTTCTAGCCTGGGTAAATATGCTGAAAAAAAAAAAAAAAGAGCTTAAAGTGGAGAGAAACAGTTCATGGTAGATAATCACTGCCCTCCCCCTGCCCCTCCATTCCCGATAGAGATTTTAAAAGGCTGGCAGAGCTAGTCCCATCCCAAGCTCAGGGTCCAAAGTCGAAAAAAGTCTAAGTCTAAAAGCACACCTCTCCCTCCCCACCCCCAGCGGGAGGACCACGGTTCCTAAATACAGGAGGCCAGTAGGTCTCTAGAGCAGTGCACGTAAAGCCGACCCGCACACTCCTGCGCAGAGGCTGGCCCCGGGACCCCCCCCTCCCCCCGCCCCCAGGCCCGGGTGACAGCGGCGGCGGCTGCCCACTGCGCCCCCGCGGCTCAGAGCGCGCCTCTTGCGCCCGCCCCAATCAGCATTCTTTTCCTCCTCCTGTTCCCGAGTCCCCGCCACGCCGAAGGAAGTACTCGGGCCGGCTCCTTCCTGGAGAAAGGGCCCAATAGTTCCGGAAGCTTCCTCTAGCCCCCCGGCAGGTCACGTCGGACCCGACCACCCGCCCGGGGGACTCAGTTCAAACAGCTCGGCCCAGCGCCCCCAAGTCTCCCGGGACAGCGCCGCCCCCGCGCGCCGACAGCCCCCTCCCCCCCCCCCACCCCAGCCCCGCGGCCGCCTCGCTTCGCCTGCGCCCGGGAAGCCCCCTCCTCGCCGCCGCGGACTCTGAGGACCCAGTCCCCGAAGTTCCCCCATCCCCCCGGCGCGCACGAAGGCAAGTTGCTGCCCGCCGCTCGATCACCTTGGCCGTCACCGAGGGGCCTCGCCTGCCGACGCGCGAGGCCCCCGCAGAAGGCACGAGCGCGCCGAGCCCCACGCAGAGCGCGAGAGGTAGCAGCAGCCGGGGACCCGGGCCCATGGCGAGCGGTGGCAGCGGCGGCAGCGGCTCGGGCGCCACCGCAGTCTCCGGGACCGTTGGCCGGATTCCCGGGCGGCTGCGCCTGCGCGCTCCCGGGTTGGGGGGGGCGGGTGGAGGCGGGGGGGATGGGATGGGGCGGTCGGGGCAGGGCCGGAACCTGGGGCGCGCCCCTCCGCAGTTCAGCCCGGCGACCCGCTGGGGATTGGGGGCGGAGCGCCGGGGAGGGCGCAGCAGGGGCCGACGGCCGTCCCTGCGGCGGGTGCGCGGGGCGCCGGGGGTCCAAGCGAGCCCGCGGGGCCCGGGGGGAGGCGCGGCCCCTCGACGCCCGAGAGCTGCAGAGGGCGCGCGGGGCATCTCCGGCAACCTACGGCGTAAGAGCGCGTTGACCCTGCCGCAAAGTTCAGTACTCCCCGCGCTGCGGGGCCGCCTGGCAACTTGCGCGCGGCCGGGTCTCTGCGGAAGGGTCCTCGTGGGTGAGGCGACACCCGAGGAAGAGCCCCCGACGCGCCTGCCGGCTTCCCGTGTTCCATCCAAGACTTTAGCTTAAAGGTTTGGACGTCTCTCAGAGCTTTGGGAGCCCTGGATGTGGTGACTCGATTGCACGTGATGAACGACCCTTCACTGAGATGATGCAAGTTGGAGATACAACTTTTACAAACTTAAAAGTAGGTTTAGGAAGATTATTTCATGATATGGGGAAAGCTCGTTATATCCTTTAATGGAAAACTCCGGTTGCAGAATCACATGGAAATTTTGTAATATTTTTTAAAAATAAATAAATAATTTTTTTTTTTTTTTTTTTTT